CATAGAAAGCACAGGGAAGTCTGAAATGAGCCCACAGCCCCAACCTGGCTGCCTGGAGACCACAGGAACGCCCCTTCCCAAGTCAGGGTATCTGCCAGAGGAGCTTGAAGCTCCAAGGCATGAACAGTGAATAATAATAACCGGCAAGTGTTGTTTAACATTTGCTTCTAGCGCTTGGACCTCTGTTCTCTGCCTTGTGCACGCTGCTCGCCTATTCCTCGCAACCTCCCGGGGAGGGGGCTGCTGACTTGTCTCCATTTTATAGGTAGAGACACCGAGATTGGAGAGGTTAAGGACCCTGCCCAAGGTCACAGAGGTAGAAAGAGGCACAAATGGCAAACAATACAAATAGGCTTCACTGCAGCAATCCTTGTAAAAGCAAAAGGTTGGAAACAACCCATCAATGGGGCAGAAATATTCCTCAGTAAGGGACTGATGAAATAAACTCAGGTATGGCCACACGGGTGAGTGCCATGCAGCTGTGAAAACGAAGGAAGACTGTATCTGCGCACTGCGACGGAGTGGTCTCCAGGATGTTTTATTAAGTGAAAAAAGCAAGATGTAGAACAGCAGGCGTCATACGCTGCCTTCTATCTAAGAAAAGGGAGAGAAATATATACAAATATTTGTATTTAAAAAATAACACAGTGGAAAGGTAAGCCACACATGGACAAAATGGTAATCATAAGGGCAGGAGGAGGCAGGGAGGAGGAAACAGGACTAGAACTAAACTTCTTGGAACACCTTGTTTTCTAGATATGACTCTGGAACCATGTAAATATTTAACTATAAAACAAAATTAAATTGACATTTTATGAAAAGGAAGGAGTGGGTAGAAATGGGTTTGAACCCAGGTCTGTGCAACCACGACAGCAGGTGTCTTTGTTCCTAAGCACGACGTCGTTTTGCCTCCCATTTATTTATCCCTTTGAACAGCAGTGGAGTGAGCTGGCGAGGCCGCCAGACAGCAGAGATGGGGCCAGGCCTTGTGCTTTCTGGCGTTCTGAGGGGACCCTGGCGGTGGTTCTGGGGGCTGTGATTTTAGCACTTTCAGGAGTTTGTCATTAGCTGCTTTATCCAGGTTCTCATACCCGCTCCTGCTGTTGCCCTGACGTGGGTCTGTTCCCGAGCACTTCATTAGGAAAGCAGCTGTAACAACTGCTCACCTGCCTCCGGCTCCATTCACACACACCAGCCAACGGCACACTGTGCACAACAGTGACGACACGCCCACCTGAGAATGGCTCCGTGTCGCCGGCAAAGAGCTTTCCCGCGTGTGATCTCATTTCATCCTTACAGCAGCTCTGCACCTGGGAATTAACGTCCCCAGCGAGGATCCGAGGCTCAGCGAGATCTGCCTGCCATTTGCTGTACAGCCAGAGCCCGAAGCCGCACCCCACGGCGGTGGAGCAGGCTGATTCCGTGCTGTGGGAGCACGTGCAGGGCTTATTTCGGTATCCGTGGGGGTAATTTCACATAGGGGGCAATGCTCCGTTTTGGGCTCAGACAGACATGAAATTGAATCCTGGGAGTCCTACTTTCTAGCAATGTGCTCCTGAGCAAATCTGGTATTTTTCTCATCTGTAAAATAGACACAATAGAATTAACCTCTGCAAAGGGCTGCAAAGGGCTGCTGGAGACATAAACGATAAGTTATCGTGATATGTTGTTATTAGCAAGAGTCATCTCAAAAGGTGCAGCATCTTGGAAAATTTTCTGTGTCTTCTCCACCTATTGCCTCGCATGGGTTGAGTACATTCAAAAGTTTAAGTTTTTTTTGACCAGCTAACCAAGCCACCTCCTTACCAAGTCTATGTTCCCCGCTAACGACAGGCCTGGGTGCTGCCTCCGTCACCACTGCTCCAGGGCCCCTGACGCCGCCACTCTGTCCACGGCTCAGCTCAGGCAAGGCCCCTCTCCCTGCTAACCACAGCATAAGCCTGAATTAACCCCCATCTCAGTGCCATTTTAAGGATTAACTAATCCATCATGGGGGAGACCTCTGAAATGTGCCAGTATGGCCGAGGCCATTGTCAGGCAGACCAGAAACCTACTGCACGAGTTTTCCTCGCTGCGGGGACTCGCGAGCTGAGCGCTGCAGCTGGGCTAACTCTCGTGGGCGAAATCCCAGCAGGTGCAGTTTGCCCTGATCTCACCAGCTGTCTGTCTGCCCCACCTGCTGGGGGACCTTTTTGATCTATCTCTTTGTTTCTTCAAGGGACGGTGAGGGTAGGAAGATAAAGGGATCAGGATTCCAGACACTGAAGAGCTTTTGTTTATATTTTAGTGGAACCGAACACATGAAATTTCCCCTCTTGGCATCATCAGCCTATTGACTCCACTCATAGCTCTGAGATTATACCTTTCTGATTTTATGTTCTGTAAAGCTTAAAGGTCCCTGGAAACCTACAGGGTACATTTTTTCACCATCTGAGGAATAAACTTCATAATAATAATAATTTTTAAAAAACCTAACACAGCAATTCATTTAGTTCATCACTGAGTATTTATTGCGAACCTACTATGCGTTCCCCAGTATATTAGCAGCTCAGAAGGCTATACTCCAGAGGGAAAGAGAAACTACCATGTATTTCGACGTCCCGTATACTAGGCGCTGAGAGGCACCACAATTGCATCATCTCATTTAATTCTCACAACTCTTGGAAGTAGGTATTGTTATTCCATTTCACAGGTGAGCAAAGAGACTCAGAAAGTTCCATAACTTGTCCAAGGTCATTTGTAGGAGCGGGAGCCAGAACTCCAGTCCAGTCCTGCCTGACTGTGCCATCTGGGTCCTTCCCACTAGAATACAGTGGGGAGGAGACAAGGACACAGAGGATTAGTCAGTTGGCAGCAGATTACAAAGCCTGGACTGTACAGTTAGAGCAGGTAGGGGTTGGGGAGGGAGCGTCTGATAGGAGGATTTCCTGGAGGAGGCAGCCCAGAGGCTCCCTATAAGGACCTCAAGCACAGGGCAGGGGTGGGAGAGAATGTGCCATGTGATGGTGGCCTTGGGCAGGAATGGATGGAGTGAAGATAGCGGCAGACAGCATGCCCTGAGGCCAGCTGGGTGGGGCTCGGGGCTGAGCAATGGGAAGCCAAGCACGGCAGAGCTGTCTGGACCTGATGGGGTGGCAGCAGGGAGGCACTCACTGAGTTTATGACCCAGGGCGGGAGAGGATGACTCAAAGCCTTGGCTGGAAGGAGTGGTGGGCGTGGCCTGGAGATGGCAGGGCCAGGCAGGTGCCTTGCAGAAGGGTCCAACCCAGGGGAGGCTAGCCTTGCTCAACCCAGGGGAGAGGGTGGGAGGGGAAGGAGGGACGCTATGAAGATGGACTCTTCAGGCTTTGATGAGGAGCTTGTGGGGAATGAAGCACAGGAAGGAGCGAATTCGATTATAGATTGCTTTAGAAGCTTCCCTCAGGTCACAGTAAATCTGTTCACAGCGGTTCCAGGTCTTCCTGTTGACTGTGGGATCAAGTCCCAGCCCCTCAACCTGTTATTGTCAGGCGCCTCACAATCTGGCTCAATCTACCTTTTTGGGCTCCTTGCCCACTACTCTCCTCAGTAAGTCCTCTGCACCCCACAAACCATTCTCCACCCACCCTCCAGTGCCGCCCAGCCTCCTCCACCCCGACCCCACGCTGGCAGCAGGACCCTCTCAGAAGATACGGCCCTTGATGTCCACTGATAGCTCTTCCAGCAGAATCTCGAAAAGTCAACGTTTTATTGTTAACTGTTGCTGTTGGTGTCTCTCTAATACCACCCATCTTTTTACAATAGTTGTCCCAACTGGGGAAGTCATGTCATCCTTCTTGGTTTCCTCACCTGCAAAATGCAGCCAATAATGTCTCTCCCAGGGCACGGTGCCTGGCACACAGAAGCCCAGCCTGACTGTTCCAGGCCTTTCCTCCAGCGGGGGGCAGTGCCAGCGGTCCAGCTGAGAGAAGGGGGCCCCAGGACAAGGAAGATGGAACGACCCAGAGATCCCTGCAGGACTCCGTGGTGGGGGGAGGGGCTTCTCTATTCTCTTTATCCCTTGGGACATTTCTGAGACAGCATCACACTAAGATCATTTAGAAAGAGGGGGCACGCAGGCCACCTGTAAAAGGCCACAAACAAATTAGTAAATTCAGGACGGACTCCCTGGGGCCCCCGGCCCAGGCAGGACCCAGTGCGGCACGTGCTGCGCAGCTCTTGGCTGTTTACCACGCGCGTCTCGCTGACCTAGTCCGGGTGAACACCTCTCACGACCCCGCCAGCTCCCTCTTCTCACCTGCGCTTGGCAGAAGAGGACACCGGGGTTCTGGGAGGCGACGTGACTCTCCCTAAGTGACAGGGTGCCGGCGCCCAGGGCCCCGCACTCCTTGGGGGAGGAGGTGGGAAAGACGGATCCCTCGGGTTAGAGACGGGAGGCGCGAGCCCCCAGGTGCCCGGGGCGCGCGTGGGGGATGGGAGTGGTTGCCCTCGGGCGGCGGCCGGGCGCAGGGGGTGCCGTCCCCAGGCCCCTCCCGCCGCTCGGAGCCAGCCCCCAAGGCGCATCCCCGCGGGCGCGCGCTCCGGGCTCTGCCGGCGGTTCGGAGGCGCGTGCCCGCTCCCCAGGTCCGCCGCGCGCGCGCGCGCGCCCCTCCCCCGCCCTCGCGTGCCCGCGCGCTCCCCGGGTCCGCCGCGCGCGCGCCTCGCGTCGCTCCCCTCCCCGCCCCTCCCGTCGCCACCCCGCCCCCGGCCGGGTACCCTCGCCGGACCCGAGAGAGAGCGCCGCCGCCATCTTAGTTGCTGCCGCTGCCTCCAGCGAAGCGCTGCTCCGAGGCGGGGAGGGCGCCCGCGGCCGGAGCGCGCGGCCCAGCGTCTCGGCGGCGGCGGCGGCGGCTGCTCCTCGGACCCCGGTGCTCGCCGCGCCGCGAAGCACCCGGCCCCGGCCCGCGAGAGCCTCCTCGGCGTCCTGCGCGCCTCCCTGCGGCTCCCGGGTCGGGCCGGCCGCGGCGCCGGGAGTCTGAGCGATGCTGAACCGCCCTGCGCCCGCGCTGGCCCCGGCCGCCTGGCTGCTGTTGGCCGGGCTGCTGTGCGGCGGCGGGGTCTGGGCCACGCGAGGTAAGCGGCGGGGCCGAGCCGGGCCGCGGGGTGGGAGCGCAGGGGTTCGGGTCCGAGTGCGGGAGTCGGGTCGGGGCGCAGGGGTTCGGGTCCGAGTGCGGGAGTCGGGTCGGGGCGCAGGGGTTCGGGTCTGAGTGCGAGGAACCGGGTCCAAGTGCAGGGAGCCAGGTCAGGGCGTGGGGTTCGGGGCTTGGCGCGCGGAGCCGGGCCAGGTCGCAAGAGACCGTGGGCGCGCGCTGCGGGCGCCCCGGGGAAGCCAGGCTCGGTCCCAGGCGGGGCGCCTCGGCCGCCCCCGTTGCGGCCCGAGATGGTGGTTGCGCTGATATGGGGGGACGTGCGGACGGGCCGAGGGGTCAGTCTACCTTCCTCAGCGCACGCAGGCTGGGGATGCACCCTTGGGTGCGATGCTGTGTACGTGTGTTGTGTGCTCCGCTGTGCATCAGGCTGGGGGTGCACGCTCGGTTTTTGGTGTGTGCTTACATAAGCGCCCACTCCTCCGCATCCCTTTCCCGAGATCCCGAGTCCCTGCTGCTGCACCGCGGACACCACGACTTCGCCCCTTTCCGCCTCCTCCCAGGGTCCTTTAAACGTCGTCTGTTTCCAGTCGAGCAGAGGCTGAAACTTCTTGCTCCCCTCCCACCTTTTCACCCAAAGGTGAAATCCTGGCGGGGCTTGCGACTGTGGTCTCACCCAGTGTGAGAAATCTCTGTCTCCTCCACCCTGACGCCTTGGTGCGGTCAGTTTTTCTGACGGTAATTTAGATCCTGCGAGGGTTAGGTGGCCTCGACAGAAACGAGAAACCCCTCTGATTCCTTAGGATTGTAGCACCAAAATTATTTTATGGTTAGGTGGCAAATGATGTTTCTTGGCTAATTTATTACTGTCTTTTAACCTTCATCCACTTAATCTTCTGATATTGACTGGTCTTGCCAACGAAAAGCTTACGCATTGCAGATACTGTATATGCTTCTGAATGGTCTTGAAATCGTAAACATTTTCCTTGGCCTCGGAGCAAAGTGATCTGGATGTACTCTATGCAGTGCTTGAATCTAGTCCTCTGATTTTTTTTTTTAATCAAATTTTGGGGACTAGGTTGATAGATGTCTAGATGAAATGGCCATATTTGAATTTAGCAAGCTTTTAATAATTCTCGTTTTCTCCTCCTCGGCATGACATAAGGAGAGAAGTATGGTGTTCACAAATTAAAGGGCAGAAGAGGCGAATGCATCTTTTGTTCCCTGTCCCTTTCCTCACATGGAGGATGATAAACTTTGAATACTTCTTTTATTTCATTTCTAACATTCTGTTGACTCAGTCAGATTCAGCTCTTAGCCACCAAGTATCTAATGGCTCTCAATCTGATTTTTAAAAGTTACATCAAGCTAAGTTTGAAATGTTCTTTCCAGATGTGGGACGGAGGTCTGAAAGTCTAATATATCCAAGAGAAAAAAATGTCAGAGTTTTGCTTCTCTTGGGGAAAGCCCACACATTTTAAAAATATGTGCTTGGATTGGTATTTTTGGAACAGTTCAAGTATATTTAGTGAGTGACAGCATTTCTTGTTAAAATTCATGTTTTCTTAAGTTTGCACATTCACCTACGTTTGCCATTCATTATTTAATTACTTTGGTTACTTAACAGCATAAATTGTAATTACTGAGTATCTTCATTATGGTGGGCTGACAGAAATTTGATGTGAAAGATGTGTTGAGTATTTGAGTCATTTGTAATTTGCTAACTTTTTCTAAGCTTTTCTTTTACTGCAGTTATATACTTCAAACTTAGTATTCAAAATAAAAACATTTAGATGTCAGTGATTGTCGCTTTTGTTTTTTTCTGCTTGCAAGTTAGAAAATGTCTCAGATGGGCCAGGTACGGTGGCTCAAGCCTGTAATCCTAGCACTCTGGGAGGCCGAGGCGGGTGGATCGTTTGAGCTCAGGAGTTCGAGACCAGCCTGAGCAAGAGCGAGACCCCGTCTCTACCAAAAATAGAAAGAAATTAATTGGACAGCTAAAAATATATATAGAAAAAATTAGCTGGCCATGGTGGCACATGCCTGTAGTCCCAGCTACTCGGGAGGCTGAGGCAGGAGGATCGGATCGCTTGAGCCCAGGAGTTTGAGGTTGCTGTGAGCTAGGCTGACGGCACGGCACTCTAGCCCGGGCAACACAGTGAGACTCTGTCTCAAAAAAAAAAAAAAAAGAAAATGTCTCAGATATTACATGAAGTGCTAATAAAACAATTTCATTTTGAAATAAAACAAATGTATTTCATATGTAAATATGCAATTTGTGGAGATACTTTCTGTGGACTTATTTTAAAAGATGATCATTTCAGCTAATATCTGAATTTTTTTATTGCTGCAAGACCGTATGGCATGAACTACTTCATACTCTAGCTACTTCTAATAATTGTTAATGAGAGATTATGTACAAACCGCTGGAGAGAATGATAGATTTTCTAATATAAATTGCATTTTGTATTATTTAGTTGTTTCGTAGAGACCTCCCAAATTTTGCTTTAATTGTAGCTATAGTTCTCAAAAAAACATCAAGTAAACTGAAATACTAGGAAATATATCTTTGGCGTGCCTTGGATGGTCAACGTCCGTAGGCTGCCTGCCTTCTCTCCAGTCTTGGGAGATCTGGAAATATGATCAGGAAATAGAAGATTGAAGTAGAGAAAATAGAAATCTTATATGAATATTTAAAAAGATGCAATCATATAGTGCATTTCAAAGCCAAATAAATAATACCCACTGTTATTTTTCCATTTGTGTACAGACTTCTCAGAGAGATCTCTCCTTAGCATCCTGTCTGAAATCATCTCTCCCTGAACTCCTGAATCCTCTTTTCCCTGCTTCAGTGTTACACTTTTCCATAGCGCTTATCCCATTCTAACTCTCTTTAGTTATTTATGTTGTTTATTGTCTGTTACCCTCAGTAAAACATGTGCCCCGAGGTGGAAGGGTGTTTATTACAAATATGTATCCTATGACCAGCACATGGTAGGCACGCTATATTTGCGTGATTGAATGGATGGGTAACTATTATTTCAGTTTAGACAGCATAGTATTTTTACATCTTAATTTTCACCTGACAGATAAATGCTATATACTGAAAAAAATTGTAGACATGGAGTGTAAAAACTTTAAATTCTGTATTGTGGATATTGGAATTCATTAGTAGGTAAATTTTCAAGGGTGCATTCTGTTGGATGCCGTGTTGGGGATATTAGATGATAAAAATCTGTCTCAGCCTTTGAAGTTTGTAGCTCTGTGACTACCACTGAGTCCATTTTAAAAAATACTGTAATTCTCAGCTTTTTTGGGAAGATGGTTTCTTAATTTGTTACCTAGTTTTTCAGAAGCAACTATGAGGAAAAATGTCATTTGAATGTAGACTTCAGTATGACCCCTAGTCTAACATTTTTAATGTTGAAATTAAATAACATTTACTTCTCATGAAGGAGACCTATAACTTCTAAAGGAATAATAAAATATTACTAATTCTGAACATATTCCAATTTAAGGGCTTTAACCCTTTTAACTGGAACCTTCAGTTAACCAAAATTCATCCTTTGGCTGGATACCTCTTTTAGGAGAAAATTCATAAAGCCAAGCAGTTCAAAGGGAAGGTTTAGGAGCTCATATCATAAATTATCTATGCCAGTATTTGATTTTTAAGCCAAAAGGAGCAACTGATATTTCAGTTTTAGATAGGAATGTGACCAATAAATGAAATTTTTATGAAATGTAAAATATAATTATTTTTGCATTGAAACTAGAAAATGCTGTAATTTCATAACACTAGTTTCAGAACTTGGTTAAGCTTATTAAACCAAGTGCAAATGTTTAAAATGAGGAAGCTGAGATAATTAAAATTTTAGAACATAGATAAAAAGGATTGAATTATTTTTATTATTGCTTTCTATGACTGGTAAATGTAATTTTTTAGAGTTTTCAATTATAAGAATTGAAATAAAATAGAAGATCTGATTATCCTCAAAACCACCAAGACTCTATTCCTCATGTGTTTTGGTTGAAGTTTTATATCATTATAACTTGCGGCCGGG